ATCTTTGTAGATCATGGAGTGTGAGAGGGGTCAACTTATAGGTATATTAAATGCAAATCTTTTCTTACCTGCTCTAATTGCCTTAGGTAATGTCTTAGGGTTTCTATTGCTGTGAAGAAACACCATGACAACTCCTATAAAGGAAACATTTCATTAATTACGATGGCAGCTTACAGTTTTCGATATTCAGTCCATTTTCGTCATGATGGGGAAGAGGGCAGTGTGCAGGCACACTTGGTGCTGGAGCTGAGAGTGCTACATCTTGCAGGCAACAGGAAGGAGACTGACTGACACACTGAGAGAAACTTGAGCAAAAGAGACCTCAAAGCCCTCCCCCACAATGACACACTTTCTCCAACAAGGCCACATCTCTTAATAGTGCCTCTCCCTTTGGGGGCCATTTTCTTTTAAAGCACCGTAGGTAAATTAATAAAAAAGAATGTTTGTACATTTTGTAGGTATTTTTGAGCACCTGGATCTTATCTTTTATCTCCAAACACTCTAATTCATATCAGGTACTGAGGTGCATATAGGTGTTGATTTGACTAAAAAGTTGTAGGCTGTGTTAGAAGAAACACTGCCCTACTTTTATAGCTCTTTATGTTGGACTTTATTGTTAAATAAATTTATTTGATTTAATTCTATAATTGATTGATCATATAGAAAGATGAAGTGGTAGGTAATTTTTTATTTGGCCAACCTACGGAGGAAAAACTGTGTATTATTAGATACTTTAATTATGCCCCATCACCTACCCATCTGGGTGCCTTGGCTGTGCTGGGCACATTGGCTACCACTGGGCCATATGTCTAGACTTATTATGCTTGTGAAAGTTAAAGCTTTGAAATATGTTAAGTAATAAGATGCAGTTATTTATATGTTAGTGTTTTCCTCATTTTTATTATTGTTAAGGATTCTTAAATCATGTGAACATTTTGAAAGTAAGAGAAAGTTTATTTCTGGACTTTCTATTTCTTATAGGCTTGAAGGATAGTGGCTACAACAAAAACTTAAAACTAAACCTGCTTTGGAGTCATGGAACAAGTTATTAGGGTTTTTTTCTTGTAATTAGGATTTTTAAGTGCCCTAAACACAGATGTCTAAAATTAAATCCGTTTCAGCTAGGCTTATGTCGTTTCCGTTTGCAGGTAGAGGTATCCCATACAGCCTCGTACCCTGGCTGTGCTGTCAGCTCTGTCCTTCTGGGATTTTATGGTAAAGGATGGAACACTGTGTCTGTGTAAGCAAGTCTCCTTGGTTAACGACTCTGTGGCATTGATCAGATAATGTATAAGGCTGAAGTAAGGGCTGATTGCTGTCTTCCTCATTCTCTCTGGGAAGGAGGTCACCATTAACATCAAGTTTCTTAGAGAGCCGTGTCCTTTGACACTCTTGTTCCCTTTGTGCCTTGCTCTCCGGTCTCCTTTATGGATCTGTAAACCTACACCTTCTTTCTAGAGTTCTTATATTTATCACAGGAACAGCCTTTTAATTATAAATTATGCTTCTGTATTGGTTACTTCTCTACTGCTGTGACAAAACCCCATGACCAAAGCAACTTATAAAGAAAGCATTTAATTTGAGAGTCAGTTCCAGAGGGTTAAGATTCATAACTATCGTGGCGGGGACCATGGCAACAGGCTGGCATGGTGCTGGAGCTATAGTTAAAAACTTACATTCTAATCTCCTAACTGGAAGCAGAGAGAGATAACTGAGACTAGGCTGGTGTGGGCTTTTGAAACCAAAAGATCATTTCTCAGTGACACACCTTCTCCAACAAGGCCATACCTCCGAATCCTTCCCTGTAGTAATAGGAGTGGCGGGGCTGCGTCCCTAGCACCCCGGCCGCCTGCTAGCTTATGCCCCGAAATAACAACACACAAATTATATTCATCTAAATACTGCTTGGCCCATTAACTGTAGCCCTTACAGGCTAATTCTCATATCCCGATCAACCCGTCTCTAATAATCTGTGTAGCATCAATCTTACAGGGAAAGATTCTAGCCTATGTCCATCCTGGGCCTGAGATTCATGCGTCTGCCTCAGAAAGCAGAGCTATCGTGTCTGCCCGGGAGAGGGGAGCCTGGCATCTCTGAGCTCACTTCCTCTTCCTCCCAGCATTCTGTTCTGTTTACTCCACCCACCTATGTTCTAACCAATAAAATGGGCCAAGGCAGTTTCTTTATTAGCCAATGACCTTCCTCCATCACTTCCCAACAGTTTCACTAACTGTGGACTAAGTATTTCAACATACACCCCTTATGACCATTTTCATTCAAATTGCTACATCTTCATAAGTCAGTAGAATACAAATTTACCAAAAGGTTAGGTATTAGCCAGTTGTCTATATCTATGAAGTAAAGTTAAAGATGCCATGAACAAAAACAACGTTGGCTTACATATTCTGGGTCACCGTCCATGGACCCAGAAGTTAAAATAGGAACTTGGAACCAGGAACTGAACTAAAAGCCATGAGGGAATGCTGCTAACTGGCTTGCTCAGTTTTTTTTTTTTTCCTCCATAACTGGCTGCTGGGGGTTGTACTATCCATAGTGGGTTGGGCCTTCCAACATCAATCATTAATCAAGAAATTGCCCTACAGACTTGTGAATAGACCAGTCTGATAGAAGCATTTCCTGTCATTTTCTCTATTGAGGTTCCCCTTTCCAGGTAACTGTAGCTTGTTCAAGTTGATAAAAATATCAACCAGAACAGCTTACAGGAGAAAAAGTTCATGTGGCCTCATAGATCTAAAGATTCTAGTTTCCAACGGAGTAGTTATACCATCCTTGTGACAATGATACCAGGTGTCTTAGTTACTTTTCTACCACTGTGACAAAGGTGACTTACGAGAGAAAGTATGTAATCTGAAGCTCACAGTTTCAGAGGATTCGAGTGCATGACCATCATAGCAGAAAAATGGGATCAGACAACAGACAACAGGCATGGTTTCTCAGCAGTAGCTGAGAGCTTCCATCTGACTTATCAGCCCCAAGGTGGCGGGGGGCGGGGGGACTCGCTAGAGTGGCATGGATTTTTAATTCCTCAAAGGCTGCCCCTATTGCACACCAGCTTTAACAAGCCCACACCCCCAATCCTTCCCAAATCATTCTGGGGACCAACTGGGGACCAAGAATTCAAATTCATTAACCTTCGGAGGCCACTCTCATTAAAACCTCTACACCAAGGTTTCCCTGAAAATTTCACTTACCAGCACAACCCCTTACAATATAGTTAATATTTGTTTCTACCCGACAGAAAAGGACTTTGAAGCTGGATGACCCTGTGATAGTTGACTCAGAGTCACAGAAGGAGTGGATGGGGATGTGGTTTCTTTGGCCCTTGGGCACTTTGTTTTCGCAGCTGCTGTACCGGGCGGTCTTTTTGCATACTTCCTTCACTCTGCTCATTTTTAAGGAGTTTGGGGTTCTCCACCTGCTTGAAGTTTGCTTGCCTTGCACAGTGAATTTGGAATGAAAACCAAAGAAGTCGAAAATGTTTTAAAATTCTTCTAGTTTCTCTGCTTGCCAGAATGTTGGTCTCGGGGGCTGGAGAGATGGCTTAGTGGTGAAAAGCACATGCCGCTCTTGCAGAAGTCCAGAGTTCACACAGCACCCACATGGTGGCCATAATCCCTTGAATCTCCAGCTTCAGAGGATCAGATGCCCTCCTCTGGATTCCTTGGCCACTTGCACTCACCACACATAGACACACATACACACATATCTAAACATAATAAAATTAAATATTAACATATTTATAAAGTTCAAAACCACTATGACTCCATGTTGGTATTTGGGGGGGGGTAGGGAAAGAATTAGAGAACTGACTAGAAATCTTACCCCTTTTGTTTTTGAAGGGGTAGGACTTCTGTAGAAGGGATAGTTATGAACTCTTAAGTTCGTATTGGGTAACTTTTGGGGGGACAGGTTGGGTCTAGCTTTATTGCCTGAAAGGGTTTTTGTTGGTGTTCTGTTTTGTGTGGGTCTGTGGAAGAATTGGGGTCACCCCAGAATGAATTTTGATTCGGCAGTAGCAGCAGTAGTAGCTGCAGGAATCCTGTTTCTTGTGGACTGACTGCCCATTGCTTCACAAAAGGCCTTTTTTATTGTTACACAATTTACACCGTAGGAAGTCCAAAACCTCTTACCTGGTGTCCCTTGAAGGAATCAAATGCTCAAGAATTCTTAGTCATGAGGCCTCTTGGTTTTCCAGGTCCTCTCATAACATGTTTTATAAGAATCAAACACATCAGAAGTAGTATTAGTGACAAAAGGTAGCGTCACAGAAGGCAGATGAAAGCCTAGGTGCTAACACTGCAGAATCCAAGCCAGAGCCATGCTCTGTGGGATCGCCCGCTACAGGTTTATTTGTCTTCCAATTCCAGGTTGTAGTCTGTTATTGTGGGGGTTCAGGCGGTAGCTTTAAGCAGCTGCACAGATCCACCATCAAGAGCAAAGAGAGAACTAACGCTTGCTGTTCGTTTGCTGTCCCCAATTTTGTGCCGTCTAGTACCCCAACCTGGATGATACCACTCTTCGACCATGCAGTTAGCACAGTCAAGACAATTCCCCACCCCCACACACCCACCTGACCTCTCATGGAGACTCTCTTCACGGTGATCCTCGAGTATAGCACGCTGATACTTAAAACCAACCATCATGATGTTAACATGTTTATTGTGTTTGACGGTGTACTTAAAATGCATCTGAAATTGTCACATGCATAGTTGTGAAGTAAAGTCTAGATTGTACTACACAAGCCTGGATTTCATAACTGGGTGTGATCTACTTGGGTTTAGAGGGCACAACCAGGTCCCTTGGGTGAGGTAACCGAGTCTCACTTTCCTGTAGACACCAGGCCCATCTGTGGGTTCATTGTCAGCTGCGTCCTTTGCCTCATGCTGTATAAATGTCTATTTTAAGCTCCCCAGGGATTTATCACATCCTCCAGCCGAATAAACGCTCATCTTTTCTCGTTTTCTCTTCCTCTCCTGTAGATGAGCACAACGACGTTCAGAAGAAAACCTTTACCAAATGGATAAACGCTCGATTTTCAAAGGTAACTGAGACTTAGATGGATTTTTTTTACTGCAATGTTCATGCCTCCTTCTGATTCATGTCCAGGCAGCTAAAAAAGATGACCAGTTCCCTTAGCACGGTTAACAATTAAACCCAGGCAGCCTTTCTGCCCTGTGCAGCGGTGATGGCTTTCTACCTGTGAATGTTGGCTAAATCACGTTATCCATCTTTATTTTCCTTCAGAGATCTGTGCTTTCTCAGTGTTTCTAACCTGTGGAGCACCATGCTCAGGATTTCTTCCTTCTTTCCCCCTTCCTTCCTTCCTTCCTTCCTTCCTTCCTTCCTTCCTTCCTTCCTTCCTTCCTTCCTTCCTTCCTTCCTTCCTTCCTTCCTTTTTTCCTTCCTTCCTTGAGTGGGGGTGTTAGAGCATGGTGAAGTGAGAGGTGAGCGGTTTGACATTGGTTACCAATGTGGCTAGCCAATAGTTATAGAAGGTTTACTCCCCCTTCCACCCCAAGTCTTGTGTGGGGACAGCCTTTGTGTTGATTGATTGTGGGACTCTACTATGTGAAGCTGAAGAAGAAACATTTCTCTGATTGTCTTTAAAATAGTTTGAAAGCTCCTTTATTTTCATTGTTTTGCCTATACGTATATGTGTCGTGTGCATGCTGGCATCCTCAGAGATCAGGAGAGAGCGTCAGGTCCCTTAGGACTGGAGATACAGACTGGAGTTACAGTGTGAGCCATGCACGATATGCATGGGTACTGAAAACTGTACTCGGTCCTCTGTAAGAGCAGCCAGTGCTCTTATCTGAGGAGCATCTCTCTAGTCTTTTGAAACCTCTTTTAATTAAGAGTAGTATGCAAGTCAGGTATGGTAGCCCACACCTTTAGTCCCAGTACTCAGGAGGCAGAGGCAGGCGGATCTCTGAGTTGGAGACCAGCCAGGTTTACAGAGTGAGTTCTAGGACAGCCAGGGCTACACAGAGAACCCCTGTCTCAAACAAACAATTGTTTGAAAATATTTTGTATTTAATGTTGTAAAGATCAGTTGTTCAGGCTCTGGTATTTCTCTGAAGAAAAAAAAGTGAGGCGATTTTAAGGTAATTTTAAGTAGTGGTACAATTTAAAAGTTGTTCACATTTCACATGTCAGGTGCAGTGACACACACCTGTTTGGGGGCTGAGGCAGAAGGATCACTTGGACGAAAAGTCTGATGTCAGCCTGGGCAGTAAAGTGAGACCCCGCATCTTGAAAACAAAACAATGCATATCTCCAAATTTATGGTTGATCACTTGACTGCCGCATTTTTTAGGTTTTATAGTTTTTTGTTGAAAGATATTTTATGTTGCCTCTGAATATGTGAAGGATATAAAAACAGACTTAGATAGGCGAGTTTAGAGTGTAGCGTTGGGGTCTAGGGAGCTGGCTTAGTTTGCAAAGACACCTGCTGTCAATCCTGATGTCTTGAGTTCAATCCCTTGGGACTCACTATCAAGGGAGGGCACAAATTTCACAGAGTTATATCCATGTCCCTCTCTTGCCCCCCATACATACTGCATGCACACTTGCACCTGTGCGCACACACACATACATGCGCACACACTAAATAAATGAATAAATAATGACATAATATAATGAGTCACTAAGTAGTCAGTATGTACCTCTGTGTGTGATTGTTTGCAAAACTGTGAGGCATAGTGTCAGGATTCCATGTGTTTTGAATAAAAAGGAGTTTAGAGTGCTTTGGAAGAACAGAAGTACCCCATGGCTCATGGTTTCATGTACCAGACTGTTCTAAACCACTGGTAGGCATTTTATGGTCAATTTCAGATGGTTTGATTCTATAGTTGCAAGGAACTTATGGCATGGACTGGACAGCATTCACAGTTCCATGTGGGTATACGCCACGATCTCAGCACAGTTTTAGCGGCCGAGAATGGGAACCTGGAGGAGCTTTTCCCCTGCAGTCTCCTGAGAGCTCATGGCAGCGGGGAGTGGGAGGGGGGTCATCCAGCCTGGTTATTACTGAGGTCATGGTCATTTTCTATGATGGAACTAGAGAAGCAGGTGTGGTTTTTAAGCCACTTTGTGTGCTCACCAGGGAAAGAATTCCTGTAGTATTAAATTTTAAAGATCACTTTCAAAGTCTTGGGAGACCTTGGTTGAGGCAACATTTAAAACTGAGTGAATTCCTTCTGCCATACTGTTGAGAATGGGGTTTAGGGAACATTTCAGTGAAGCGCAGAAGAGGGTGCAGGATAAAGCGATAGCTGAGGATGAATAATGGGAGAGTGATGGTCGTTGACAGGTTCAGATTCCCAAATAACATAGATTCTCTCAGGACACTGACAGGTTACCTAATGAAGTTGACATTTAAATATGCACATTTATAAAAAGGTACGGATATCTCTCTACCCCGTGGAACCATGTTACTGTTTTGTAGTATCAAAGGGGACTTTAGTCTCATCTATTTGTCCTGGGGTGTCCGTAGTTCCTCCAGGGGAGCAGAGGTTAAGTGCAGCAGGCTGGGTTGTGCCCTCCCAAAGTCTTGTTGTGTTTAGAGAAAGGATCAAAAGTGGGATGATCCTGGAAGCTTCCTCTGTAGATTGCTGCCAGCAAGAAGTCAAAGCCTAGAAGGAAACTGCGCAAGACACAATGAGGATGTGAATAAGAAGAGGGAGAATTTCGGCCAGGACCACAGACTTCATTCATGTTGTTTCCCTTCCTTAGCTGGGTTTGATCTGCAGGTGGATAGAGAGGGTGCAGCACACTTGTAGGCTCCAAGATTTCCATGGATTCCTATGCAGCTTAACTCTGGCTGGGCTGGGAAAGGTTGCATTCCCATTTCTGTGCAGCCACATTGGGTAATCCTGACGTTAGTCTGTCGGTTAGTCTGTCTGTCTATCTATCTATCTATCTATCTATCTATCTATCTATCTATCTATCTATCTATCATCTATCTATCTATCTATCTATCTATCTATCTATCAATCATCTATCCTATCTATCTATCTATCTATCTATCTATCTATCTATCTATCTATCTATCTATCAATCATCTAGTGTATACACAGAGTCCTATTGAAGAGAATACACTTATTTATTTTTCTTCTTGTTGTGTCCTTTAACAAATATTCCAATGAACTCTGAAATATTATTTTGTGTGTCTGCTGGCTCCTTTCACTCTGGGATCCCATGGTGAGAAATCCAAACAGACGTCCATGGCATCTTCTGCCGTTTAGGAATTTACTTAAGAACAGACGTCTTGTTGGATGTTACATTCCTGACCCCCTCCCTATCCAGAATGTCAATCGGATAACAGGTGCCATCTTGTTTATTCTTACACCTGCTTTCATCCTGGATTTGCTCACTCTTCATCCTCACTGACACCTTCCTTTTCTAAGTCACTATTATGTATATTACTTGTCAAAGTTGTAAAACTTGGAAAAATATTAACAGATAACCTTGTTCAGTTTAACCAGCGGGACTGACTCTACCTTCTATTACTTGTTAATTTAATTTCTCCTCCTCCCCTTCTTCCCACTTCTTGGTATTATTATCACCATCATTACTATTATCATCATCATTATGATTATTTTGAGACAGGGTCTCCTGTATCTCAGACTGGCCTCACACTTGCTATGTAGTTGAGGATGACCTTGAACTCCAGCATGAATGCCACTGCACCTCATTTGCGAGGGACTGGGGTTTGGAACTTAATCTTCATGCATGGTAGGCAAGAGTCCTATCAATGTAGCCCATCCTCAGTCTGGCATTTTGTTATTTATAAGCTACTTTACAGCTCTATAAATTGTAGAAAATAGATGATACACGTTTTTCTCATCCATAAAGATGAAAATTAGCTGGAAAGAAATTGATTATTACCCATAGAGCAGTTTATGCATTTTTGCACATATATTTAATTCTTTTTCTCTGCCTGCAGACTTGGAGCTCTATGAAATCTCTTTTGAACTGATTATGGTCCTGTGTGTTTTCCTCCAGGAAAATATGCTAGGAAAGTCTTTACCCCAGGCTAGCGCTATATTTTGCTTAAGCATTATCACTCCATCTTCTTGGAATATTGTCTTTAAACATGTGGAGCACATTAGCAGCCACGAGCTGTTTTCCCCCTGATCTTTTCCTCTCCTCCTTTCTAGTTTTCCTGAAGCTGACATGATCTCAGAGGCCTGGTTGCCTCTTTTTCTTTTATAGGGTATTCCATTGTTAATTGCACTTTAAAACATTGGAATTGTCTGGATTTAAGATGTGTAGTGTGAATTTTGATCTCTGTTGACTTTCAGGCCCTTGGCATTATACGTCCCTACATTTTCTCCTAATTTTTTGTGCTTTGCAACCGCCTCCTCATTCTGTTCTAGTCACACTGTCTGTGTCTCCCATGGGGTGGCCTCCTTTGGCCTTTGTGCCTGCTTCCTTATCCATCTTGTTCTAGCTTCTGGTCCTCCTTTTTGCCTGAGCTGAAATGTCATATAGTTTTGAATATTTTTTTCTGAGATCACAGATGTGGGCAGATATGTTCCATACACTCAAAGTGTTACCACTTCAGTTAGCTATCATTCAAATAGGTGCGCATTTTTGTTACCAGATAATACTAAGATCCATGAGGGATTTGTTTCTTTATCCCTCTCTCTCTGTCTCTGTCTCTCTCTCTCTCCTCCCTCTTTCCTATTTTTCTCTTTTTTTTTGTTTTTTTGAGACAGAGTCTCTCCACATAGCCCTGGCTGTTCTGAAACACACTATGTAGGCCAGGCTGGCCTCAAACTCACTGAAATTTGCCTGCTTCTGCCACCTGAGTTTTGGGGTTAAAAAGTGTGCACCATCATGCTCAACCTGAGAGATTTTTTTTTCAATGTACACACCTTTTTTTTTTTCTTTTTAAGACAGGATTTCTCTGTGGAATAACCCTGTCTGTCCTGGAACTCACAGAAGTTTACCTGCCTCTGCCTCCCAAGTGCTGGGACTAAAGACATGCACCACCACATCTGGCTTATCTTTTAACATTTAATGAGTATCCACTGA